GGGCGGGCGGGGGGCGGCGGGTGCGGCCCGCGGGGCTGCCGAGCGCTCGGGGCCGGGGCGCGGCCGTGCCCCGGCGCTGTCTGAGCGGGGCCGCTCCCGCAGGCGCGGCCGCCCGGCCCGGCGAGCTCTGGGACGTGGTGGTGCTGACGGCGGCGGACGCGGCGCAGGCGGGCGCGTTCCGGGAGCAGCTGGCGGAGAAGCTGCGCCGGGGGGAGCTGCCGAGGGGCGTCCGGTACCACGTGTGCCCCGACCCGCCGGGGCCCAGGATCGGTGCGTGCGGCTGGCCCGGGGCCGGGGCCGGGGCCGCGGGGGGCGAGGGCTCCGAGCGCCGGCCGCGCCGGTCCTCATCTCCCCGCGGCTCCGCCTCGCGGGGGGGGGCGGGCGGGGCAGGGGATCGGGTCCGGGAAGAGCTCGGGGGGCCCGGGCAGGGCTCGGGAGGTCCGGGCAGGGTTCGGTGCGGCCGTAACGGGCAGGAGGGGCCGTGGCAGGAGCCAACCTGGGGCTCCATCGTGGTGCTTCTGAATGGGCGTGTTGGTGATACAGTACAGCTCCTCAAAATGTGTCCGATGAATACAGAATAGCACTGGCTCATGTGTTTTAGGACTTCATACTTAATCTGATTGCTTAAACAGTTTGATTATATTTTAATATATTACCCAGTGGGCAGCAAAACTGTAGAAGAAACTAGCCTGACTGCTGGTAATACCATCCTGTAATTCTTAATTCCTGTTCCCTTTGATCTACAAAGTAACTAATATCAGTATTATTTGCAGTGTAGAGTAATAGGCAGAGATTAATTCTTGGAAATCTGGCAGCTTTAACTTGTAAGAGCGTAAAAAATATCCCAAACCATTTCCTCGTATCGCAAACCTTCCTTATTTCCTTATTGTAAATGTCAGAAGTACTTCTGAACGCTGCCTTGAAACTACTAGTGAGCTTTTGTGTGACCTGTTTCCTACAGGAGCTGGTTTTTACGGCTGGGTTATGTCCTGTTCAATTGTTTAAATGTTTCAAATGTTTGGCCTGTGCAGAAGTGACTGGGAGAGAAAAACAGAGTTTTCCCAAGAGCTGTCTGCTCAGAATGCTCTGCCCTGGGAGAGCACAGGCTTCCAGGGGAACTGTCCATCAGCTTCTGTGCGTGATCTTATCAACCACAATAGGGTAGAAAGACTGTCCCATCGGTGCTGGTGTGGGAGGTTTATTCAGCTGGACACCAGTACACCTCACCTGTCAGCGCAGGTGTTATTGAAGCTCTTCTCACAGATACTAAAATACTTCTTCTTTAGGAAATGGTGGATCAACTCTTCATGTTCTTCAGTACTTGGAAGATCTGTATGGTGACCAGTGGGCTTCGTTCACTGTGCTGCTAATCCATTCTGGTAAATTCAGTTTCACATTTCTTACTCTAAAACTGTACCCTTTTTTTTTCCCTTCCTTAAATGATATGATGACAGAGGAGTCCGAGTTCCCTCAGAAAAGTCACCCCAATGTGTGTGATCATCTGAAATTAGGTTGGTGCTTAGGAGATGTTACTGTCACTTCAGCATTTTTTCTCAGCACTCAAGTTGTTCAATCAAACGGTGAGAAAGAGATGTATTTCAGAGTGTGATTTAAGTTCCTGCCTTGAAATACCCGTTTAAGGAATATGGCCCACTCGGGGGGGGGTGACCTCAGGCTCCTTATACCTTTGGGCAGGCTGAGTACTTGCCTTCTTATCCAGTTAGTCAGGACACTTCCAGAAATGGAAGAACATCAGTTCTGTAGAGGAGAAAGAAACCAGGTGATAAGTTTCCTGACCAAACTTCTGCTTGTTTGACTCATCTGGACTAAAATTCCCATCAGAAGTGTTGGGGTCCTCCTCTTTTCCAAGCAAAAAGTGAGTGTCATTTGCTTTCAACACTTCAGCAACAGGCAGCTCTGAAACAAACTAAAGATAACAAAATCAACCACAATTTTAATATGAGCTATTTAAGGCAGGCTGGGTTTTGGACATAAGGCCATATCTGCTTTGGGAAATGTTTGAAGAAGAATGATTGATTTCTTCACATCTATCATTTTTTAAGGAATACTTGATATGTGACCAAGCGGAGGGGTTTTTAATGCCTATGTGTACCTGTGAAATAGCTGCATAGGTTTAGTTTTTTGCTTACTTGCATACAGTGTCTCTGTGTAACTAAAATTCTCTTCCAGGTGGTTACAGCCAGCGTTTGCCAAGCGCAAGCGCCCTGGGGAAGATCTTCACAGCCCTGCCATTCGGCGATCCCATTTACCAGATGCTGGAGCTGAAGCTGGCCATGTACATCGACTTCCCCCGTCACATGAAACCAGGAATCCTCGTCACGTGTTCGGATGACATAGAGCTGTACAGCACTGAAGTGACAGAAACCATTGCGTTAGATAAACCTGGGTTTACTGCATTGGCTCACCCCTCAGATTTGGCAGTCGGGACCACTCATGGGGTTTTTGTCTTAGATCAGTCCAGTTTTTCAGGAAAAGGAGGACTGGAATATGCATCTTGCCATCGTTTCCTGCACAAGCCTGACGTGGGGATGATGCGGCAGAGTGGTGCAGTGTGTGTGAGGGGGCATTGCTCCCCTGGGAACCATGGTGACTCAGGAATGGCCTCGGAGTGTGTGTACACAGACAGCATATTCTACATGGATCACCTCACTGCAAAGCAGCTACTGATGTTCTATAAGCAGGTGGGCACACTCTGCCATGAAATAGATGCATATGGTGACTTCCTCCAGGCCCTGGGACCCGGAGCCACTCCAGATTATACCAAAAACACGAGTAATGTCACCAAGGAGGACTTGGGGTTGGTGGAAGTGCGGCAGCTGTTATACTCCCTCCTGCGAGGAACTGCCCTCAATGTCATAGTCCTCAACAACTCCCAGTTCTACCACATTGGAACTACTCAGGAGTATTTGTTTCATTTTACTGCTGAGAGCAAACTGAGATTTGAGCTTGACTTGCTGCCTGTGGCTTTTAGCATCTTTCCTGACACAGCCAAGACCTCAGATCAGTCAAGCATCATCCAGAGCATCCTTGAGCCCAGATGTGTGATAGGGCCTGGGTCTGTCATTGAATACTCCAGAATTGGGCCTGAGGTCTCGGTAGGGAAGAGCAGCATTGTTAGTGGGTCCTGCATAAGTTTCAGTGTAGACATACCCTCACACTGCTTCCTGAGTTCAGTAACTGTGAAAATTAATGATCAAGTTGAGTATGTCACCATGGTGTTTGGTGTAGGAGACGACTTGAAGAAGACTGTGAAATTGCTGTCAGATATACGCTCACTCCAGTTTTTTGGAGCCAGCTTAGCAAAATGCCTGGACCTCTGGAGTGTAGAGGCTTCGGACCAGCTCTTCTCCAGTGGGAACACACGTCTGGGGCTGTGGACTGCGAGGATTTTCCCTGTTTGTTCTACTCTAAGTGAATCTGTTAGGATGTCGCTGAAGATGTTGAATTCTGTGCAGCACACGTCACCTTTCAAACTGAGTGGCTTTCGGCTCTTGTCTGTTGAAGAAATGCTCACCTACAAAGATGTAGAAGACATGCTGAAGTTTAGGAAGCAAATTTATGATGAAGTCTGTCTACAAAGACAAAAAGAGAAGTCTGATTGTAGAATGACCTGTACTTGAACAAATCTGTTTTCATTTGTGGGTGATTGATTACTTCACAGCTTATAAGAATCCTGAGGAAAAAGTACACAGATCTTTTCTCTGATCTCATTGAAGTAATAATAAAGAAATTACATTAACGGTGGTGTTGTAGCATAACGTTAATAATGCAGCAAATGCAGATAAACTGTTCTTTTGATGAAAGTAATGAAATATTTCAGATCTGAAAGCACTAATTGGTGACTTTCGTGGAATACATGTTATTATGTCTTGTAGTTTTTGTCAGTAAGAATATGATACAGAAAAAATTAATTAGAAATTTGACTGAAAGGTGCTTTAAAAGCTTTTAAAGGGTAGAATATTAACTCCAGCAAAATGGAACAATACAACAATAACTTATGTTTCTCTCTTTTCATGCTGCCTTTTTGCAATACAATTCCAATTAGGTAGAGGTAAAAATTATTAAAAATGCTTTTAATTCAAGACATCTTGTCTTAAGTATTAATATTTTTTTCTCTTTTATTTTGTAATTTTTTTTTATCTTTTCCTGTTTTTCATCAGAGGAAAAAGATTGGCATGAGAGATCATTCTCTCTCTACTGACTCATATTACTGGGTCAGCACCTGTCATCAAGAAATACTGATTTATTTTTTTTACTGGTAGTTGTTTGGATGCTGGCAGTGGGGTTGGACAGCTGCCAGCTTTTTGTTACCCACAGATTGACTGATGTGTGCCACATGAAAACCTGCGTTTTGTGTTTCTCTAGACTGAACTGTGAGAGGCCTTGGAGTGAGGGTTGACCCTCCTGCAGGGCGGTGGAGCAGGGTTCACATTTGTGAGCATTGTGTCCTCAGAGAAACACAGTGTCTGTTCCCTCTTCCACTTCTCCACTCTCTGCTAATAAAGGTAATAATAAAGTCCTTTTGTTTCTAGTTTAGGTGCCCAAGATCCAGCTCTAAACAGATAAATCTACTATTTTTAAAAATATGCTGTGCAGTATAAGTGTGATTTGACTGCAAACATGATGCATCTTTTTCTCTTGCATTTATCTGTGAGTTTTCATATTTTATTTAATGTTTCATGATGACAGTGTTTATGTCCCTGCTGACTGAATTCCCAATTGCCATCTACAAGGCAGCAGTGTTAACATCTCCTGAGTATTACCCACCCTGCTTTAACCTGCACCAGGTTTCTTCCATGTTGATAAAGAAGCCTCCCAAGAGATACAGTATTTTTCCTGAGGATTTCTTCTGGGCAAGAAGCTAGATGGGCAAAGGAGCTAGATGTGGAGGTTGGGAACTGCTGGGGTTGACTTCAAAGAAATAAGGAGAACTTCTGAGCAAACAGAGGTTCTAAAAGTCATTATGAAATATGGAAACAATGGAAACAGCAGTAGGCTTGGGAACACTCGGGTCTAAGATAAATGCAAAAAGTCACAAAGTAAAAATAGTCATATAGCATGGAATTGCATGTCATCTGTTTGCATGATCTATTCATCTGTTGTTACACAAAACATTTTAGGAGAAACAAATGTTTGACGCAGGCATTGCACCTTGAGTTGGAGAACAAACTTTGCTCTGCACAGGCTTCCCTGAGGGTTGTGCTGTGCTGCCAGGAGAGCTCTCTGGGTTTTCAGTAACAGCAAAATTCATCCTTTTAACATGATTATCCACTTTAACTGTTACAGCTGCATTTGTTCTGAATTCCCTAAGCACCGTGCATTGATTTCATTAGCGAAAGCAATCTGGATATAAATAGGAAATGGATTTGCTTCTGGCGCATAAGCATTGGGAAAAGCGAATGAGGAAAAACACAGTGACTGAACAGCTTTTGGAAGAGGTTGAGTTAGGCTGGGCCAGCAGCAGCTGCTGTGGTTTAGGGAGCATTGTGCATTCCAAGATAAAAAAAAGCACAGGGGTCTTATCCTGGTGGTAGCTGTGGACTAGCACAGCTGGCCCTGGGGCCAATGGGTGTCCCAGGCTCTGCCAGCCCACTGAGGGCACAGGGGAGAGGCAGTGCTCGGGGTGTTTCAGGTCTCCTCTCCTGGTGAGCTGAGCTTTTTGTGCAAAGCTGTGAAGCAAGTGATGTCCAGCCCCAAGAACAGCTCAGAGCAGAGTATCAGGAATCACCTACTGGGAAATGAAACATTCAAATCTTGAGGCAAAGGTTTTAAAAATTTACCAGGTAAGAAATGTTGCACTGCTCTAAGTCTTTATGCCACCTCATGCTTTCCTCTTACACTGAATATTTTTGCCTGAAATTTATAAGATGCATTTTGATCAATATTAGACCTGGATAATGTCAGCAGGCTTAATGGATTTACTCCACAGGTATTGAAATATCTGGATTTGTACAATTTTTCATTTTTAAACTGCAATTAAGTGTAATATAAAATATTATGAAAATCATTACAAATTATATTTTATTTATACAGAGCTATATTAATTATTTTTCCATGTGTTTTTGACTCACACAGGGCTCTGTGCATGTTCACACACATTCTTGGACTCCACACTTGACAATAAACACTTTTACATATATCAGCTTCCACTAATTTCTGCTGAGCCACAGGTAGCATATATTTGCCCATTACATTTCTAATGCATCTGTCATCCTTAGTGGTCTTTCTTATTCTCAATAAAATGATCATTGTGGAGTTGGAGATTAGAAAATTTATGGAGCTATTTGGAGGAAATGCTACGGAGACCAGCTGGTTCTGTTGAGTTTTCTGTATCAGCCTCATACCAAAATCCAAGAGCCTGAATGAATCCCCTGCTTAATGGAACTCTTTCCTGTATGTCCTCATTCCTGGAGGGATTTAAAAGCCATTTGGATGTGACACTTGGGGACATGGATTAGTGATGGCCTTACTAGTGCTGGGGGAATGGTTGGACTCGATGGTCTCAGAGGGCTTTTCCAGCCCAAATGATTCTGTGATCTTGCAATTCTTTGTAGCTCTCTATGAAGTGTGTACATTTTTACGTATAACAAATTGCAGTACTTACAGCAAGGACTGTGTTATAGTGTGATCAAACTCCTATTAAAATCAAAAAGCTTGCAGACCAGACCCTTCCTGACAATAATAAGCTGTGTCTGGCGTATTAAATCCATGTATGTATTTTATCCATATTGTATTTACAACTCCAGGTAATGTTTGTATTCTACAGTCTGCAGTTAATGTAGATGACAACAATTTTCTCATGCAACCAGCTGGGATAAACATGTCCCAAGGAAATTGAGAGACTTGTGCAAAGCCACCCAGTAAACCTTGACAGCAAGATCATAGTAATTTTGGGTTGCTGTTTTCCACTACTGGGTTCTGGAAACAAGATCATCACAGCATCCTGGCCCAGATCTTCCTCCAGTCTGAGTAATGAAGGATGCAGCACTGACAGTGCTAGGTAGGCAGGACCTTCTGAGGACAGGATTCATCTACTGAAATCTGGAGCTTGATTCTCATTAAGCCTCATTGAGTTTCCCAGATAGATGCGGTGTTGTTATATCCTCTAGATCATTGCCTGGCTCCGTCTATCCCGAAATGCAACTCAGCCTGCTACAATCTCAAACAAAGCAAGATGAGTGTTTAATGATTTTATTCATGTCAACTTGCTTTATTTAATTACATTTTCTGTGTAGTGCAATAATAGGGCTCGTAATGAACAATGTTGCAGTAATTTCCCTGAATGCTTTGAGCACGCGCCGTGGTGAGCAGAGGTTTGGCCCTACTGTCTGAAAGCTGAAGGGTTATTTCAGTGACCTTTGGGGCAGGAAACTGAAATCTGAGAAACTGGGCACTTAAAAAAGAGCATAAGGGAAGGCAGCTGAAATAAAAATGAACAGCTGAGAGGAATCTGTGCCAGAAGGATTTGGGGAGCTGACGAAAGGAAGTAAGCTCCAAGGATCAGCTGGATCTGCAGACAATGTTCATGCCTTGTCAGGGTGTTTGTGCTGGAGTTCAGCGCTTCCAGCCTCTTCTCGTTCCTATATCTCGAGTGCAAGAGCTTCATTTTCTGCTCTCTGCACATGTGGAACATGAGTCCCCGTGCAAAGGCCTCTGTGGTGTTGTGAGAGCAAAAATAGCAGAGCTGTTATGCTGTACACTCTGTTCATCTGCTACCATGGAGGAGCCACTGCAAACACCTGCTCCCTTACAAGGGCTACAGTGTTCCTTCATAATGGAAATATGAATTATAAATATGTATTTTCTTTTAGTGCCCTTTTCATTTCCTGTGATGTATCTGAATGTCACCAGTATGGCATTGAAATTTATAGGAGCAATGTAGAGCCTCTCCAAGTAAAGGATAGGTATGGAAATGTTCTAATTGTGGATATGTTCTAACTGATTTGAAATAAGGATCATTTCAAAAGACTTGTTCTATAAAGCCTCCCTAGGAAGGACATTTAAAACCAGAAACAGGAAAAGAATTATGTACACATGTCTGCTGTAAGATTGGCCATGACAGCTACACATTCCAAACATGAAGCTGAAATAAAACTTATAAAAATTAATCATTTGCACAGCTCAGTATTCTGTAAACATCACGTCTGAAGAATTTACTTGCTTACAAAAATTGCTCATGATGTTTTAGTGCTACTTGTGGAGATGTTTATTCAAACTGGCCTCACAAACAGCACAGTTTCTCAATCTTCTCTGTTTGCAAACAGGCTCTGCAGTTATTATTCTTTTTCTTCTTCCCCCCCCAGTTTCAATTATTCTGCAGCTGCTTCACACAGCCGAGGATGTAAATGCTCCAGGAATTCACCTGCTGCCAGCGTGAGCAAAGCTGCTGTGGTGGCAGGGCCAACTGACGAGATCAGCTCTGGAGCTGCCCTTCTCAGGGTCCTTCCCTGAGTGTCCCCACAAATGAATCTTCACCCACACAAAGGTTTGCAAAGAGTGAGTAAAAATATGGTATGGAAACTGATTACTGCTTTTCGGTATATTTTCATAAATGAAATGGTATAAGAATACAAGTACTATGCAAGGTATTTACTTCTTGTAAAAAAAATCATTTCATCTGTCTCTTCATGGAAATTTCACACTTTATAAAATTATTGTGTTAAACTGCGTTTTCTGTGCAGAATGAACAGGGCATTTCTGGGGCTCTGTGCTCTGTCCTGTTCCTGTCACAGCTGGCTTGGTCTGGGTGGGAGGAAAGTCCTTCAGGAGAGGGGTCCCAGGGAAGAGGGGATCCCATGGCAGAGAGGACACCGTGGGAAAGATGAGAGCCTGGGAGCATATCCCCAGCTCTCCCAGTTGTTTGGCAACTGTATGTGGGGATCAGTTGCCAGGCTGGTGCCTTTCTGCAAATATTTGGTCAAATGTCACAGAGCACATTGTCACAGCAGTTCAGACTCTTCTGAAATAGATCTTTGGATTCATGTGCAAATTTGTGTGAGTAAAGGGATGAGCTGGTAGTGCCAGGAGCTGTTGAGGTTGTTATAGTGGGATGCAGCACACAGGAGGTTTTATAGATGTGTGTTCTATTAACATACTTGCATGCCTGAAATCGTTCAGAGAAAACTGAAAACTCACACACAGAACAGCTGCCAAAGTCAATCAACACACTTTAAATGTATATATATAAATATATATTAAAATATATAAATATAGGTGTGTATATTTACATTTCACTTTGTCTTATATATTGCATTCCTAAAGGCCATACCCAGATACTCCAATGCCACCCCCTGTGTCAGGATACAGTGTGAGCTGAGATCATCCCTGGCCTCTCTGAGCTGGGGACCCCCAGCACTCCTTGGGTATCCTCACAGCACACCTGGGATTAGCTGCTTAAATTCCCTTTTCTCCACAAAATGAGTAATAAGCTGCCAAATTACCATTTCCCACCAGTTTAATTGTTAATTTTATCCATTCAACAAATGAAGGCGGGTGTTTGTGTGGGAATAGACAAGAGATTTTTAAGCAAGCTGAGTAGATGTTTCTATTATTTTAGCCCAGTGGACAGCATGGGCTGTATCGCTCTGTGCCATTGTTGCATGACATTCCTCTTGGCACAGGGTTTATTTTTAGCCAGAGACTATCACAAGTATTTTTCAGTAGGACTGTCACTGCTCCTGAACGAGGAATCATATTACTGCAAGAACTTTGCTGAAACAAAGAAGATATATTGGACAAATGGGAAATTATAAATCTAGACCAACCCAGACTTGCACGGGTAACTAATGTCACTTTTTTACAGGCAATGTGCCACCCATCCCTCGGCAAGGAGCAAATAGTATTTCAGGAGATAACTCATTGCTGCTTTACTCTTGAGTTCAAGGCTCAGGTATTGTTCTTGACTTAGATACAGGCTGTGAAAGAAGGCAAAAAGCTACTAAACTAAATTTCTTTGAGGAATTATATAAGATCATATTAACTTACAGTATTATGTTGATTTAACTCATGCTTCATTAAGAAAACCTTTACATTTCCAGTCATTTTCTGCTGTGTGTCTATTTAGGAAATAAAAGCTAACATGCAACCTGAGCTTTAAGTTTTCTCTTAAATATTATTTAATATTAAAATATTTCTTGTAAGGATTCATACATATGAGCTGTCTCTGAAATCTGTGTGTCTGCATTGGCTCAGCAGGAATAGTTTAATAGCTGTAATATTTTAAATTTAATAGAATTATATATGAAACTGTGCAACTGGGTGCTTAAAAATCAGGTGGTTTGGTTACTGGAACGTTATGATTTGAATATCTGGGGTTTGTGTGTTTTGAAGTGTTTTATCAATCCAGAGTTTTTGTTGTAGATGAATGGAAGAAGAAAGTCAGTGAATCCTATGTCACAGTCACAGAGCGGTTGGAGGATGACCTGCAAATCAAGGAAAAGGAGTTGGCAGAGTTGAAGCATGTTTTTAGGTAAAATATTCTGGGAACCTGTTTATTAATTTCTTTCAAATAAGTATTTGCTATCAAACAGTATTTTCGGTTTCAGGTGTTTTTTATGGACGGAGTTTCTCATGTATGGAATGCATGCTCCCTATGTCTATTTTTGGGAATACATCCTCACAATGCTGGGCAGAGCCCCACAGCAGAGTACCAAAATTAGTGGCTACTGACTGTTAATGCCAGTGTTTTACAACAAACACCTATATGCTTTTGTAAATTAGTTAGCTTTAGTGGGATGTCTGATTTTGCTGTGCACTTTTCAGTTTTGCTAATGTGTTTCTGCAGCCAGGAATATTGCTGAAGTTTCACTCTGTAAACAAATGCAAAACTAGTGGATTCAAATTCAGAATTGGGATGGTTTTCTCATGATAGCACATGCTCACAGCCAGGTTCACCCAACCAAGTAACACACTGGTGTGTTCATTATCTGCAAAGCTCCAGTGCAACAAACATCCAGCTCACGGACTGGGAATAAGTTGAGAAAATGATCAGACAAATCATTTCAGACATCAAAACCACTTGAGAAAACAGGGGATTCTAATCAGAAATAAATCATAAGCTCAAAAAAGCAGACCTAGCAATATAAATTATTCCTCGTGCTCAGTTTCAGCTGCCACAGCTATCACAGTTTGAACCACTGGGCTTTCTCTGCAGTGTGCTGACCACTTTGGCTATGCTCCAGTTAAATAGTTGCCTCATTTTAACCCTGTTTAGTAGAAAAAGTGATTATTTTAACAAGTTGGAACCAGAGTACTCCTTATTTTAGATAAGCAAGACAAGGGAGTATATGGTGGAAATGCTAAATACCTGAATTAGGCATAAGAATAAATTAAAAACTCCTTTCAAGGTTAGGAGAGCTCTGGTAGCTCAGCTCAGTCGGGCCCAGGTAAGTCTCAGTGTCAGCCAAACTCTTCTCCTTAGCTACAGAGCCCTGCTCCTCTCACCCAAGGAGTGAGAATTAATGATCCTGATGATATTGCAGTGGAAAGGCTTTTCTTTTTAAGTAAGGTTTGAGGAATCAGTCAGTGATTTCATTTCCAAAAGCTGCCCTCACCCATGGGGAATGAGTTCAGTCCAGTCTTCTGAGTATCTAAAATCCAAATATGGCCTCTTGCCTATAGGAAAAACTCTTCTACAGCAGCAGTGGTTGATTTTGGAAAACTTCTCATTAATCCTTATATTTAAAAAATTCAGGACTGAGAAACTGGATAGTCGCTGGGAGATGAGTCCAGGAAGGTCATTTCCCTGATAGAAATGAAAAAAGTAGCTGGTAAAGTCCCTGCTCTGAAGGCAAACCTTATAGAAGTGACAAACCCTGGCAGAAGAACAAGTTGTCAGCTTCCCATTTGTACTCAGGGGACGCATGTGCAGGTCAGAGGGAATTGTCCAGTGCCACAGAAATAAAACAACAGTTCAAATAGTGTAGAGTCAACATATCAGTAGTGTGGCGCTGGCACTTGTTGGGTAAAAGGTGTCCCTAGTCTGTGCCTGTGTCTCACAGCTGTTCGTGCAATGGTTCACTAAGGCCACTCTAATAATAAACTATCAGAATTTCTTTTCCTTAAAACACAATGAAGCAATGAAGTCTAAAGGAAGGATTTAGGAGGAGACCTGGATAAAGCTGGGCCCTCATCACAGTCATTCGAGCTAGTTCTTATTTTCAATACAGGCCTTTTAATTGCAGCTTTGAAGATGTAAAACTTTCCTTGCCATATTTTCCCACAAAAACATGAAAATGTTGCCAGTTTATAAGAACTCTAATGATTAAAATTGAATATCATTAAGAAAACAAACTGAAACAACTGTAAACTGGTTATAAATTCAGGCTTGTGTCTCAAAAAAATTATTTTGAGATTTATCTTTTAAATGTTTCTTAAATGCAAGAAGCTGTGCTGAAGGATGAGAGCAGTAATCATCTGTAAAATCCCTTTTTCAGCTCTGATGAAGCCTTCTGCAAAGTCAATTTAAATTACCGCACTGAGAATGGGCTCTCGCTGCTCCACCTGTGCTGTGGATGTGGGGGTAGGTATCTGAAACAGGATGGCTAAATACTTTATTTGGATGATTACTGATTTTTATGGCTGATAGCTGTCAGGAGGACTGTATTTTTTGAGAATTTCTCAGCTGGAGGAGCATCTCTCAGCATCACTCTGAGCTGCATTGCCAGGGGGTTGAATTGAGTTACACTGAGCCCTGTTACAGCTGATTCTTCAGTCTAAGGAAAGTTCTGGTTGATGATGCAGCATGTTTTACTACAGGTGTTCACCTCAGTCAAAATGCTTCTAAATGCATTTGTTAATCCACACCCATCACAGAGCATGGCTCCACCTTTCTGGGTTCTGTGCATGGCACAAACTCCAGGACAGGGACTTTGTTGTAGCAACACTATGCCATACTTACACCACCAATTTTTCTAGTGTAATGAAAATACCTGTATTTTATTTCACAGAGATTAAAAGAAGAATAACTCAAATGCTTTAGTGACAAATATCAGCTTATGGGGCTTTGGCAGATAGAAGATCAGAGTATACAAGAAAAGAGGGCAAGATTTGTTCTGGGATGTTCATAAAAACACACTAATGGTGGGATTTTCCACTTGGATCCACACAGCTGCTCTGTTATCCACAGCAAGTCATTAGTTCATGCACACACTTTACTCCTGTTGTACCATTTTTAGCGGAAATTGTCTGAGAGAGGCAAAGAGAATTTAACCCTGAGGTTTCAGTGCTGCAAAGTACTGACTAACGACATGTATAAATGATTTGCTCAGTCTTAGTTAGATTTTACCATGAGGATAAACCTGATCTTGCACCACTGAAAACTGAGTGGATCTTTACTCATCATTTCAGAGTGCAAGATCCTGTCCAAGGATGACATCGGTGGGGTTGCTGAGAGGAAGTTTAGGAAAACACATGCTATTAATTAGTTGTATGAGCACTTGGAGGAGGGTGAGGAGCTACTAGATCCAACATTGTCTTTGGTTACTGTCTCAAGGATTCAGAAGGCAGATGCATTTATTGCAATGATCACTGTGCATCCAAAAGATCAGAGCAAAGCTACTTGCCATGCTGACCCAAAATGAATGTCCCTGTAAGGATGGTGTGTAGGGACAGCAGTGCTCTGATTCTGGGAGGGCAAAGGAGCTCAGTGTCTGAGGAACTAGAAATTCTGGAAGCACCTCCTGGTCCATGGAGCTCTTTGAAGCATGATTTAGACATTAGAGGAGGAGCTGTTTCTCTAGAAGTTCAACTACCCTTACCAAATCCTTTTTAAAGTGTGAACAAGCAGCCACTACATGGCCAGACCCACAGCTGTCCTGGACAACAGGGAGATGTTTCCATCAACCTCATTTCAAGGATTCACAGGATATATTTTATGACTTGCCTCAGGTCAAAAGTCACACTACTCTATTCTCTGCTTTCAAACTCACACAGGAGCTTCTTACCTCATCTGCACTTTCTTTCCTGTAACTGACTTTGTTTTCCACTTTTCTCTCTAAAGGCAACAAATCGCATATCAGAACTCTGATGCTGAAAGGGTTGCGCCCATCCAGGCTGACAAGAAATGGATTTACAGCTCTGCACTTGGCAGCTTATAAGGTTAATTATTTTGAATTAAATTGATGACAGGAAATCAGAACTGAGTAGCTGATTTGTCTGAACTGTCTGAGCTCAGTAGTTGTTACTTCTGGTGAAAATATTTCACATTTATGGTGCATAGGAAAATGCCCTATAGAGAGCCTGTGCACAGGAATTACCATGTGCTTTTGCAGTGTCATCCATGGGGTGGGAAACTGCTTTGGAATTACTGATCCAATCATGCAATGCAACTCAGGATAGAGGAGTTGTCCAGTGCCACCGTAAAATCAGGATTGAGGCATTTTTAAGGTTTTAGTATAGCAGGAGAAATGTCTGGTGGTGGGACAAACCTTCTCCCCCTCTCCATGCTCCCCGAGCCCTTGGGCCACATCCAGTCCCTCTCCATCACGGCCAGCAGTGTCACAGCCAGGGAGGCCGAGGTTGGTCCTGCTCAATTCAGCTGTGAGAGCTGTGTCCCAGAAATGATGTGAGTTACATTTGTGGCATTTAGGACAATGTGGAGCTGCTCACAGCACTGCTGCACGGCGGGGCTGACATCCAGCAGGTTGGGTACGGAGCGCTCACGGCCCTGCACGTTGCCACCATCGCCGGCCACCACAAGGTACGTCTCTCTTTGCTGTACAGGACTTATATAGGTGAGTGCTAGTATTAGCAGGTCATTCTATTTTACACTGATGCCTTTCAAAACAAAACTCAGAACCGTTTAAGTACAGATGGATTTTATTTAACTTTTTCTGCATTTTGGGAAAACCACATCTGTGTATATATTTTTGCATTGAACAAACATGCACAAAGAACACAGATCTGTTTGTACATCTCTTGCCTTTTGATAAATGTCTTTAAAGTCTTGGGAATAGATAGTGCTGTTTTCTAAATATCAGAAGTGTTAACCAAGAGATACATGATGAAACACTCACTCATACATGTCAGGGTTTCTGAACCTGGATATGGAGAGAGTCTTCCAAATACTGTCTTTCTGAGTGTGAAGGAATCAGAGTAAAAGAGTTTTACTCCCTCTTCCAGGTGTCACGGGCTCTGTTTCACAGCTCTGTGATTGTCACTTCAGAAAGGGGTGAGGTTCTTGTTTTAAATCTTTTTTATACTTCGGATTAGTGCAGAGAAAGCTGTTGCCAGGGTGAGTATGGCGTGAATCTTAGACATCCATATTGATAAGTCTTCTATGGATTGGAGACTTCTCACTATGAGGAGCAGAGAAAGGAAGAAAGAATGAGGTTCCCCAAGTGCCTGTAATCAGGCCCTTCCCTTTCTAGACATGCTGTCAGTCATGTATCTGTTCTCTTATCATTTACCACCTCAGTTCAGGCATTTCACACACCATCTCATTTCTGTCACTCTAGCAACAGCTCCCTCAGTATAATTTATTTATTTTTAAATAAATACTGAGAAATTATTTTTAAATAAGTACTGGAACTGAGGTTACTGGTAAATTTGGCTTAACCTTGCAGCCTTCAAAGCAGTTCCAAAATTATTTAAATCCAGTAGGTCTTTTTGCGCTTCCCGGCTCACAGGGGTGAGCACAGTCACGGTCAGTGATGGCCCTGGTTACTCAGGAGTCTGTGTGTCTGAGACAGGTCAAGCTGAAGGAAGACCAGGACAATTTATGAGTGGTCATGGCAAGGAACTCCATTAAAAAGCCAATAACTTTTGGTGCTCCAGTCAGCAGCTCCATCATGGTTCAGACAAATCAATCCATAGCATCAGTTCCAGCTGGTGCATGAGGGAATGTGCTGGCAGGGCAGGGTTAGCACTCGTGTTGGGAAGGTCAGCTCCCCAGGCACAGGGAGGAGGCTGATGGCATGTCGGCCCACCAGCAAGGCTGGGGAGAGAGTGGAACGGTGGGGTTGTGCTGTAGCATCACACCCCCAAGCTCATGGACATCCCGCCATTCCCTTCCAGTGCACACACAGCTCTTATTGGCCTAACGCACATCCTTCCTTGTGTGTCCCCTTACTAAAACACAGGTAAGGAACCTCCATATCCACCACATCAGAGGCTGGACTTGATGATCTTGGAGGTCTTTTCCAACCTTAATGATTCTTTGATTCTAATAGTTCTGTGCAGAATGATGGTGGAGCTGTTAACTGTGGGATGGTCTTGTTCACGGGTATTTACTGTGTCCTCTGTGGGCAGTACAAAGTGCTCTACTCAGATCCAGGGTTTCAAGTAATTTTTAAAATGTTTGGGCTTTTTCCTGCAAATGCCAAAGGCAGGTCTGCTATTGATCCCATGTCCTGAGTTTCTGCTGAGGTTATGGAGAAATAAGGGTGCTCAGAACCTGACAAGGATAAGCTCATTAATTTCATAAGAAGTAAAATATGAGTGGTTTTGAAATGTCCCTTATTTCTTCCTTGGGAATGATCAGATCTGTATCAGAAGCATCTCCATAAATGGAGTGGGGTTCTGTATAACTCATTTGGTTCATCTACTGCTCTGGGGACTGAGGATTTATGGTCCAAGTGCAAGCTCTTGCTTTCCTTCTTTATATAGCTGTGAAATTTTCACTCAGCTTAGAAGCTCCTCTGCTAGATTAAGTAGCTTGTTTTGTTCACAATTTCATTAATATTCATGGAAATATGGAATAATTTTTTCAACCCCCCCAATAACTAGAATAAGTTTAAGAAAAAGGAAATCAATTTTTGGTTGTCTTCTGAATTTAAATAAGGTAAATAATTATTTATACCATTCAATAAATAGCAGAGGTATATGCCCTAATCCATGCAACATAGATTTTTACTACAGGAGACGACTGACTTATATTTAGGACAAAGATAGAGAAAACTGAGTAAAAAACTTCTTTTTTCCCCATTTCCTTGAAGAGTCAGTCTATAGCTTCTGCTCCATCACCAGACTTGAAACCACTGAAGTGATCAGTTCTCTGGGACGAGGCAGTTGGTGTCAATGGGATGTTGCATCTCATTTGAGCCAGTGTGGTGTATTAAATATTTCATGTTCTTTATGAGTTAGGACTGTATTTTACTTCACCAAAAATATGTTGTCTGCTGATTTTACCTGTTAATGAAAATTGCAGTTCTCAATGGGAAGAATTAAAAATTAATGAAAAATTAGAAAAGAAACGGGTAACCATATTAGAAACATCAGCAAATAAGTTCCATAAATCTCTCATTAAGTCTGTTATTTTGAAAATATTAAATGTTTCAAGCCCAGTGAGGTCACTGTTAAATAAATAATGCATGTGCCTCATCCACATTTATGTGTTGTCCAATGTTAGCACCTTGGAAAGCCAAGGCCACTGCCTATTTGATGTTGTAAATCACAGTTGTCATTCTGAGATTGCAAGACCTGCAGATGCGGGGGCTGAACGGAGGGTCACAGGCAGGATGAACCAGTGCCACTCCATTTCTGTATCTGCGCACCTGAGGATCTGGGCTGTGAGGGTGTGTGTGCCAAGGGCCTGTTGGGGAAAAGGGAGTGAATCCCTTCTCAGGGTTTCTGTAGATATTTCAGTGTATGGCTGTACAGAGGCTAGCACTGTGCAAAGGCCTTAATTGCTGAAATTGTCTTCTGAAAAGTCAGTCATCATTGTTCTTGTTTTCTTAGAGGAGTTCTTATCCCTTGCCCTTGTCCAAAACACAAAGTCCTTATGTCTGTCTCATGCTTTAATATGTTGACTCCTTCTAACCTTCAGAGTGGCTTAATTAATTGTCTTTGAAGTGAACATCGTTGACTTGACTGTTCAAAAAGCGTCTGTATAAGCCTTTCATAAGAGAACTTTAAGAAAAATTGTGAAGTAAAAGTCAAAGTATCATTTTGAATTGAAGATTAGTTGTGCGAGGGAAAGGGGAGCACTTGTTCCCCTGGTTCTTCAGCCTGTGCCACAGTGAATCCAACCAGGACACTGCCAGCTGCCTTCATGACCAGCCCATCCAGCTTCTTTCTATGCAGCTTGGAAATATCCCCTGGATTATGAGCTGCACCTTCACTCACAGTCTCACACTCTGTCTCCTGAGGAGAAAAATCTTTTTTTTTTTTTTGGTCCTTCTGCAAGAATTCAAAGCTCTTTTTGAATCAGAAATTTTCCCCTTAGTTTCTGAAGTATTTCTATCCTTGCACATCCCCCAGCATCCCCCCCTACCTGTGATGCCTATGACAGCTTTCAGTGCTTTCTAAGACTCCTTTTTTCTTTCCTAGAAAGATATCTTGTCTGAGAGACTATCAAGCCTGTCTCTGTACCCCTCTCATCATTTACACTTGAGTGGAGTTTGCTTAATGCAGCGCACAAAATTCCATTTCTCAGGAGATCACAAAGCAGCAAGCACGGCTGCCATTGCTACAGCCTGGAAAATGTGTCAAAATTCATCTGGTTTTATGTTCGTCATCAGAGGTGGATTCACATCGCTCAACACAGTTTTTTCATCTTAAAGATCCACCTTGAAGCTCATAGAGGAATCTAAATTTTGAATTCCAGCTTCCAAAGAGAATAAGGAGAACTAGAGTTGTGGTCACATCCCTGTGTGTGTTACAGCCTCACAGTTCATGGCTAAATTAAAATCAAACTCATCCAAAGAAGTTTCAACCATATTCATGTAAAAGCTACAGGTCCAAACATCTCTTTTCAGAGCCAACAGCTACAACTTCAGTTTTATGATGTTAGTTTGCTGAAAAATGTCTAAAATTAATCACTTAAAAGCCACTGAACCATTGAATTCCAGGCTAACTGGGTCTGTATTCCCACCTCTGGCCCACCAAGCTACCAGGATATTGAAAATTGACTGCCCATGGGAAGCCCAGTAGGGGAAGTCAGTTGTGCTAACTGACCGCTTGTGTTAACCAAATAACTGAGGGTGTTCTTTATTTACTGCCTGAACACATTCACACCCATCCAGTGAGTGCCTGTTGCTGAGCTGTCCTTCAGCTGAGAGAAGAGACAGCAGCTTCTCCAAAGATCTCAGTGGATCTTTTGTAAGATTTTCATTACGCGGTTACACTCTTCTTTAAGATCCACAGCAAAAGGATGCCAATGCACGTGAGATTTAGCAAGGGAAATTCTGACTGTATATAAAAGGGGCAAGAGGATCACAATGAGAGTGGAGAGTGCAACACGGAGAGCATTCCTAGAAGGATGCAGAGCCTCCATCCTTGGGAATAATCAGACCTGGCCCTGCAGTGCTGTCTCCAGAGAGGGTTACAGCTGATGCCATGGAGAGGTGGTTAAAACTAATGGGAAATGGACATATATAAATATGTTGGGGAACAGACCTTATGCAGAAAATGTATTCAGGCAGTCACGTGGAAAAAATTATTTTGATTTAAATTGTGCAAAGGAACAAGCCCTGTACACTGATGTTGCTTGGAAACAGTTTGTGTTCTCTGAGCACTTGGGAGTGACGTGGATTGAAATGACTAGCCCTGTTGCTGCACATGTGACATGGTTTGGGGGGCTCAGTCTAGAGAGCAGGTGACAGACCTGTGCATCACCACAGCTGGCATTTCTGGGCATCCTCAGGGAGGTCTCTGTGGACAGGTACAGGTACACACAGCATGACACAGGAGTTAGCCACTTCCCCATCCTTGTCAGTTCTTCCCATCAGGGCAGAGGTGGATCCCAGTTCCTCACTGTACTGTGGGTGACTCATGGTCCAGTGTTTTTCATAATCATTAGACTCAAAAATTAGCATTCTTCAAAATGATATGTAGAACTTTTGAAATAATCCCTGGCACAAGCCCTTCATGTGCCCAAAGACTCCCTCATTCTTCATTAAAACGAGCAGCCCTCAGGCTCCAGTGAAGAACCCAAAGTGGTTTCATTGAGGCTCCAGTGAAGAGACCAAAGTGGTTTCACTCGGGCTTCTATTTTGGCAGCTGTGCAGCAAGGCAATGCCTGAGAGTTCATAGATATCCAGGAAAACATGGGCCTCCTGGAGGACCAGAAAGGGAGAAATTTGAAAGAAAACACTTAGGGTTACTTATTGAAGCCAAAGAGCTATTATCTTCTAAAATACAAAGAAATCTTTACACGCTTAGGGAATTATGTTTGAGGATTTACTTTCACACACTTAAATTTAAAAGGATGTTTCATTTTGTGGGACATTTTCCCATCTAAAAACTCTGATGTGTTTACGGCTCTTTGTTCATAATGGTTAAAAGAAAATTAAACATTGAAAATCCAGACAGTCATTTCTGTGTCTCTTACTTCATAAATCAGTATTTTTACTGGCACACCGATTTTCAGGTTTATTTATAAAGCATCAGTGACATTCAGTGTTCAGTTGAAGTACTGTAAGTTAATCACTTTTACATGCAGTATGCAGCCCTGCACCTTTATATATGCTTGTTTGGAGCTTTTTGACTTTTTTTAAACTGGTGACATGAGGTTTCAAAGTCCTGTTTTACCAGCTGACCACACATATGTTTGTGTGTGTGTGTATATATATATATGTATATATTCGTTCTAATTGGAATTTTCTATTGGTCTCCTTGCAGGCTGTGGATATTCTCCTGCAGCACGGGGCTTATGTGAACGTGCAGGATGCTGTGTTCTTCACCCCCCTGCACATTGCTGCTTATTATGGCCACGAGCAGGTAACTAAGGCGGGATTCAGACACTTGAGCAGGGGATCACCAAAGCATCTGTAGGTTTAGTGCTAGATGTTTCTGCTTTACATTCCAGAGGGTCCTTCCGTGCAAAGACCTCATACACTGAAGTTACACTCTGCATAACATTTCTGGTTGCCCTACAAGTCTGAATATCAACAAGAAATTTCTACACGTCCATCCTCTGTACTGGACCCCAGAAAAAACTGATGTTTTGCCCCTGAGACCTCTTGAAACAAAGCATTCTCTAGCAAGCTTTGATGGGCAGGCTTGTGCCCAGTGGCATTTTTCATCTGCTGTTCATTCACCCCATGTATCAGAGATTGCCTAAGGAATGTGTGTGCTTTCTGAACCTCTCTAAGGAAGTGAATATCACTTCCCTGAAATAATTAAATGGCAATTCTATCAGTTTTCCTTGGAACTCACAAACTGTTCAATTAGTGGAAAAAAATGGTCATTCAGAGAGCATGATTTTTCCTGAGGTGCTGTGCACATGATCAGTGCAGCTGAGCTTACTCCATTCACACAGATGACAGACTTACTGAAACATAGTCTAGAGTTCTGACCAAAGCTGGCATTGACACCCTCAGCTCTCTTTCTTCTGTATATTTGGGCAGTACAATTGACGCATGGCTAATCCACAACCCTGAACAGCTTTTTCATATGAACTGTGGTAATGGGTCTGTTTGGCTTATGCCTTGCTTTGGCTAAAAGCCTTGTGTTCTGGGGTGTTCTAAAGTTTCAAAGGATGACCTCTAGGCAGAGCATCTTTTCTGTTCCAGTGAGGTGTTACTTTGAGTGCACTGAGGAGTTGTCTAGGAAAAGCTTTTGAAAGCAGAGGGTGCAGATGCACTGATGATTGGAACGCTCTGCTCTGTGCTGGGTGAGACAAGGGTGTGAGTGAGCCATGGGCATGTTCCCAAGGTGCTGCTTTCATATCTGTGTGCCTCATGATCCAGAAGAAACTCCTCCTGTGTGGGCTGAGATTAGTTTGCTCATGTGCCACAAGCCACTGCAGAACAGTCACAGTCCTGTGAGATGATCCTGAAAGTTCAAGGGGCTCTGGGATAAGAGACCAATCAGACAGGAGCCATGGCTCTGGCTTCTGGGGACTTTGAGGGCATTTCCTTTATTATGCTGACCAGTCATTCAAACAAATGTATCTGGTGTCCATTCACCATAGAGAACATTTTAGAGAATGAATGAACTCTTGCTTTTGAGAATTTTAATATTTTTATAAATGTGTAACTTAAAAATTAATTTTCTATTGAATCTCCTCTCCTTGTTCTAACTTTACAGAGATGCCCACATGCAGTATTACCCAACGCAATACTGTATCTAATTTTCTCAAAGTTTTATTTTCATGTAATATTTTAAGTAACCTTTATCAAATATTTAGGTAACCCACCTCTTACTGAAGTTCGGAGCTGATGTGAATGCAAGTGGTGAAGTTGGGGACAGACCTCTCCATCTGGCTGCTGCCAAAGGCTTTCTCAACATCACAAAGCTCCTGATGGAAGAGGGAAGTAAAGCTGATGGTAAGAAAAGATATTTAAAAATCAGCTCTAACATTGTGTTTTATAGACAGTCTTCATTTCCTAACACTTACTCTGTGTGTGTGTATCATCTTCGGGCAACTGAAACAAAAACCAGCAGTTGGAGAGTTTTTCTCATTTAATTTTGCTTGTTTGTCATCTCATATGTACTCTGTTTCCAGTAATAAGTTAGAGGTGAAAAACAGGAGCAGAAAAAAAAAATTAAGATTAATATACAGAGATGGCTTACTCTTGAGGCAATCATCAAACAGGGAACATGTGGCCATGCACTGGGGATCTGCAGTCAAAGTGACTTCAGTGCACAGGGAACTAGTGAATGAGATACAGGTGGAGGGTTTTAAGTCAAAATTATGAAGCAAGTAATTTAAAATAATTCATATGGAAGTTGAAATTCCACAGAAAATGAGATCTTTTTAGCACATGCTTTATTATGCTGCCAAATTTCATACTCTTCACTGTGGGATATTTGCTGTCAGAGAAAGTACCTATGTGGACACGTGATGGGCTGGACAGATACAAAAGTCTTTCAGCACACTTTGGGTGTTCTGTGAAAGTCAGGAGTCTGCATGTTCTTTGTCCAGGTGGCCTCACAGCAATGTCAGTTGGTGACATTATATCTCATTGCTGTATATTTTGCATGTGTTGCAATCTGAAATATTTTTGCTCATGACTGATGTCAGTGTGCAGCTGGTGCCCTCTGCTTTTGCTGTTTCAGTAGCATTGAAGGCACAAAATGTGCCACACTCCAGTCTTACTCTTCCATTGCTGTGACACCTGTGTCACACACAGTGGAGAGATATTCTACAAAGCCATATAAATGTTAAAACTTAGAGGTCGCATTTTATGCATATTATGATTATTACTGTGGAGATTCTAATCTGTACCTGAAGGGAGCCTGCAAGAAGGATGGAGAGAGACTATTTACAAGGGCCTGGAGTGATAGAACAAGGAAGAATGGCTTCAACCTAACAGAGAGTCGGTTTAGATTGGATATTAGGAAAAAATATCCTGTGGTATGTGAGGATGGTGAGGGTGGTGAGGGCCTGGCACAGGTTGCCTAGAGAAGCTGTGGCTGCCCCATCCCTGGAAGTGTTCAAGGCCAGGGTGGATGAAGCTCTGAGCAGCCTGGTTGAGTGGAACATGTCCTTACCCATGGCATGGGGTTGGAACTGGATGGTCTTTATGGTCCTTTCCAACCCAGGCCATTCTATGATTCTGTGAAATACTAAGCAATATTAAAAATATTTGGAAATTCTTATCCTTAGAGTAAGAGACAGAATTTTTTTTTTGAAAGGAACAGTACATTACTCAGAAAAGTACTGCTCTATAATACATCAATTTACCATGTTCTCTGTGCATCCTGCCTGCAGTCACACGCCCTCCTCACGCAGTAAAAAAACATGGAGGGAAGCAGCACAGTCAGGTCTGTACAAGCTGTTGTCAGTAGCGAGCTCAGGGTGTCGCAGCCTCGATGTGCGTGCACTGAGCTGATATAATTATAAAAAAGAGGGGAAAGAAGAGATGTTCACTCACCATAACAAGGCAGTAGGAGGTTTGCTCTCTGTTAGAGAGTTTATTCCAAAAGGAAAGAATCTGGGGCACTATTTCAGGTCCTTTTCTTTAAAATCAGAATCTTCAGCACAGGAAAAAGAAAAGGGAGACTGGAAGCGGGAAGTCTTTTGCTCTCAAAGCAGCACACTTTGAAACTTGCTATAAATGCAGCAGCAGAGGAACAAGTCTTCAATGCTCAGGAATTAAAAGAACTGGGGAAAGAACCTGAATAAATTTGACAGTGTTCAGTGCAGACCAGTAATTGGGGTCACAAACTTGAACTATTTCTTTTAACATAACCTGACTCGTTAGTCAGCTCCAAAACCACCGTGACTGAAGACAAGCAGTGACCACCAAATCAGGCTGAAAAGGTCAGAATGCTGCTGAAATAAAGAACATTTGCAGCCTAACAATGGCCAAAGTTCTTCAGAACAACCACAAATTAGGAGAAAAAATGTAAAAGAAAAGTGCTGCCTATGTGTGTCATGGCAATTGTCCATGTTTTACACATGGCCCATATATAAACCTAATGTTACAAGTGCTGCCAGTTCTCCACATGCCAATCCCATCATTTGTTTTAGCATAAACACTCTGGGGAAGGACTAAGAAACTCTGTATTTTCAGAAATCTCATAAGCTCTTTCAAGCACATTTCCTGCACTGTCTTTTTTTCATCCTTTCACTTATGGTCGTGGTTTCACCTGTTACTTTCTACCAATGTCATATCTCAGTGATAAGAATAATTTCTACAGAATTCCTTTTTTTCACAGGCAAGCACTTGGCATTTGCTCAGTTTTACTGTTTACTTGTAAGGCAACCTCAGTTTTCAATCCCTGACTGCCATGACAGTTATACTCTCTATCCTCAATTTAATATAAATGTACTTTAAAAATGTCAATTTGAAGAACTCTCCTATACTCCTCTTTAGTAATTCCTGAATCAATATGATGTACTTTTTCTCTATAATACTCTTCAAAGGTGTTTTTGACCAATTATCTTTTGTTTTGAATGTAAACTTCTCCTTCTTTTAAAGACAATATTCCAGTGTACCTGGTGTGCTTCATTTAGAAATCAAAAAACTATCAATTGAAACAAAACCAATCATCCCATTTTGTAGTTACAGATCCTTCTAGAGCCAAAGAAAATGGTTTGCAGGCATTTGACATCAGTTCCAACTGGATATATAAAGGAGATTTCCTTCCTTGCTCCACCTTGCACCTTGTTGTGTTGTAGACTGAAGCCCTTGATGTCCTTCAGGACATTCTGTGGGGACATACCGGAAAATGCTGACATTTATCATTATAAAATTTTGGTATTTATTCCCCTCTTATTTATTGCACTTCGGAATGTATCTGGCAAAATGGTACCAAAATGCCTGGTACCACATAATAATAAAAAACAAAGGCCAACATGTCACATGAATCTATAAAGTGAAGAATTATTTTACAGTAGAGGAGAAAAAGAGTTTGCTTTTCTTTACTTCTTATATACAAGACTGCTAGGAAGGTTAGCAGGAGCAGTTAATGATGTTTGTGGGCCACAAGATTAATTAAAGTTACAGGAATTACTTTTTCCTTTTTTTTGACCTGAAACAGAATCCAGCATTTCAAAGGACTGTACGTTTCTGTGAGCATTCATCATTATTTCAGAAAGGTTTTAAAACAGGGATTTATTTTAATTTTCATTACTCTTTATGCTCACAGAAAATCAAAGAGAAGACAAACTCTCAGAATGTGGTTGGTTTCATCTCTGTCCCAAGGAGGCTTAGCTGTAGGAAAGATATTCCTGAGGGATGTTTGTCAGAGTTGTAAGTTTGTCAGTGTAAAAGCCTGGGAGTACAGGTTAGGACACCTCTAATGGAGAGTAGTCTCTTCATTTCTTGTAAACTGCCTAAAAGACCTGGTGCCTTTGGTGCAAAGTCTGAACTAAATGTCGCACAAAGTAGACTGGGTTTGTCATTTCTATCAGTTACAAAATCAACTAGTCATGGTTGTTCTGTCTTTAAACACAGGAAGAAATGCACTGAGAATCACAGAAATACATGCTGTCTTTCAAGCTGAGTAAAGACCTTTTTCGGATAATGAAAACAGTATTTGTAGGTGTCTGTAACAATGGAGAACTCTGCCTAGAGCCTTGTCCAGTCTGTTCTTCACTCTCTACAGGATAGATGAAGGAAGAGCCATGTAAGGTACCTCCGTACCCATTTCTGGTGCTGGAATGCAACTGCCCACCCCATAAACAGGCAGAAGGCTCCCTGGCATGGATGTAGCCAAGGATAGCTGGAAGTCTCACACAATTCCCATCTGCAGATCAAGGATCCTCCAGGGCCACTCCATGCAACCACACTGAGAATAGTTTGCTACTACTGGCAGATGCCAGTGGTTCTGTGCTGCCTGGAGGTTCCCAGTCATATTGATGTTGTTATCTTCCTTTTGCTTCCCAATTGCTCTTTGTAAGGGTCATTTATAACTTGTGATTCATTCATGGAAAACTTCCTCAAAGCATTCAATAAGTCTGCTGCTGGAAGAAAGCAATTATGTCTCAAGTCCAGAAGATTGCTTTGACACTGCACTGCAGATGGCACAGAGCAGTATGGGTTTGATATATGAAAGACCACAGAAATTTCAATTTTAAACAAATAGGTCCATAAATATTTTAGTAGGAGGTTTCAAAATGTATAGGCACAACACATAAAGCTTTACTAAATATTCTGTGTTAAGTATAAAATCCTTTCTGTGGTCTCTTTCTGGGTCAACTGGCAGTGAATGCTCAGGACAATGAAGATCACGTTCCTCTACACTTCTGCTCTCGATTTGGGCACCACGAAATTGTGAAGTTCTTACTGCAGAGCAGCTTCGAAGTGCAGCCCCACGTGGTGAATATCTATGGAGACACACCCCTACACCTGTGAGTGCCCCGGAGCAGCTGTTGGGTGGGTTTGGGGCTCGTGGGAAGGCTGGCGTTGCTAACAACTCTGTACTGGCTTCCTCTTCAGTGCCTGTTACAATGGGAAGTTTGAAGTTGTGAAAGAAATAATTCAGCTCTCAGGAACAGAAAGTCTCACTAAAGAAAACATATTCAGTGAAACAGCTTTTCACAGGTGAGGTGTTCAAATGCCATTATCAATAGAGCTCCACTAACACACACCTGCAACACAGCGTCCAAAATTACCAATGTCTCAGCAGCTGCCAGGTGAGGGACAGAGCAAGCAGAGAGCTCAATGGGGAGGGTGAGTTTCTATCGTGAGATACAGGAGAGGGCATGAAGTGAGAGGCAGAACCAGAATGAGGAGAGAGCAAGTGAGAGCGAGGAAGGTAGGAAAGGCACCAGGTTCACCAACACCTGGATGGACAATGGTTCCTCTCATTGTCCTGTCTGGGAGCTGAGCCCAGCCCCTGTTCCACCTGTATGCCTGGTGGAGACAAGTATTCTGAATGAGAAACCAGGTGGCAGAGCACGATTTGGTCAGGATGCTGAAAGTTTGCAAAGGGCTATTTAAGAGGCACTTTGCAACACAAACTGTTTGCACAGCTGTGCAAAATTAATTTATTCAGCAATAATTAGAATGTTTCTGAAACAATAAAAAGGAACATGCTTTGGTGGATTAATCATGCATTTGCACATTTCTAAAGATCCTTTATTACTGCATTTTTATCTCTCTATTATTCTTTGTAAATTTTTTCTACCCAAAGCACTTCTTTTATGGACTGTAGCATTCACCACTCCCTTTACTTCTGCAGCGCTTGCACCTATGGAAAGAACATAGAACTTGTCAAGTTTCTTCTTGACCAGAATGTTGTAAGCATCAATCACCAGGGAAGAGATGGGCACACAGGTAACATCACCGTCCTGATTGTGTATGAGGGCATATACCAGCACTAAAATATCAGGAAGCCATACATACACCATCAGGATTTCCAGGGTAATTCCAAGGTAATTGGGTGACCAGAATCCAAGTACCTTTCAGACAGAGCACAACTTTTTGAAATATTTTTACAGGCAGGCATAAAAGTGATAAGACTTCAGTAAGGATGTGTCAGGCTTGTTAGCATGTATATGAGTAACAACACCTGGCCTGAACTGTTCATCCCATAGTGAGGCTTCTAAGTAGTGTTAGGAATTATTCTGCAAGGAGCTAGGCTTCTGGGATATAGTGTCTGAAGGGCTGCACACATCCCTGTCCCTACTACAGAGAGCTGCCTTTGTTTCTACTTGCTTTTCCCACGTGCAGAGTCATTAAATGTGGTTTGTGGGTGGCAGAGGAAATGCTGACACATCGTGCAGAGGCAATTAGATTGGTTCTTGTAGCCTTAATGTTTAATTTCCACCTCTTGCCTCGGGTATTTTTGACAATATATTCCTTTATCGAGGAAATCAATCTGTGCTTTACAGTTATTGCTGCAGTGATATTGCCATGTTGTGAGACTTGTGCTCCCCACACTTCTCTGGTGTTCCAGGATTGCACTGCGCTTGCTACCATGGCCACATTCGCCTTGTGCAGTTCCTGCTGGATAACGGAGCTGATATGAATCTGGTAGCTTGTGATCCCAGCAGGTCCAGTGGAGAAAAGGATGAGCAAACCTGTTTGATGTGGGCTTATGAGAAAGGTATTTCAACTTTCTAATTTCTGCTACAAAATCCATAGGAGCCGTGCAGCAAAGAGAGGGCAGCTAAGGAAGGAGATAACCCTGCAGAATAACCCTTCAGTGCCTGCAGACAGAGTTCTCACCACCTGCTCTCCAGGTCCTGGCACAAAGCACTATAAAGCTCAGCCCTTCAATTCTTCTCAGATCTCTGTTAAATGTCAGCTTAATCCAGCACAAACTTCAGGAGAGGTGTGTTTCTGTGCTGCTAAAACAGTTGTCTGCAGCAATAAGTGACAAAATTTGTCCGGGTTAGGATTCCAAAACAAATTTTTCAGGCACTGGTTTCCCTGTCAGGTCTGCTGAAGACTGTTCTCAACTTCCACTGCAAGATTTCTGCAGCAGGTTTTTCCTTTGCCATATCTCACATTTTAGGGGTAGGTGGACTCATGAAAATAACATGCTTGTTTTTACTGGCAGGAATTTCCCACGTTTCTGCGGTTAAGAATCACAGTAGGTTTCAGATTAGCACCACCATGTCTTTGTTTGCATATTTTACAGGCGTGTTGTACTTTTTTTTTAAAAATCCCTTGATTTTGTATAAATCAATCAATTAAAAACAAAAAACCAAACCAAAACAAAACAGAAACAACAAAACCAAAAAAGACTACTGAGTTACCTGCAAGTCCTTATATTTCCTCCTTCTTTCCTAGGTCATGATGCCATTGTGACCCTCCTGAAGCATTACAAGAGACCTCAGGATGAATCCCCCTGCAATGAATACTCCCAGCCTGGAGGAGGTATGGGCTGAGCAATCACTTTATTCTCTAACCAAAGGCCTGATCCAGAGAATGCTGAAGTCTCTGGAAATGATCCACCCATGTCAGGGAGCTTTGTCTCAGTTCTACCTGGCACAAATAAAATCAGTGTTATGGACTCACCATTTTCCAGGTACCCTTAATTTATGTCAGAAGTCTTCCGTTATCTTAAATTGGAGTTGTCAGCTCATGTTACTCCTGGAAAGAGGAGCCCAAAGCTGTGAGCTGAAAATCAGTTCCTGTCAACCACTGCTCACACCTTTCCTCATCCTGAATGCCTTGCGTAGCTGTTCTCTTTGTGCTGTTTAGTTCTGATGTTTCTTTGGTTGTTGATATTTTTTCTTTCTGTACTCAGCCCCCCTCATATTTTTTAAAGCTTTGGATATCTAGTTCCCCCTTGGAAATAATTAATTACCCTTTTTGCTACAAAAAGACTCATTTGCATTGGTGACTAAATGACAAAAGCCAGGAAGAGGAATTAAACAAAACCTTTGGCTGTGTGTTGGAGCACTGCCTCGGAGAAGACGAGGGTGCTGTACCCTGGGGTTTGTCTGGGTCATGTAGTGCTCCAGGTATGTAAACAGGAGAAACCTACAACCAGCAGCAGCATCAACCTGCTCCCTGCATCGTTTGGCCTGTTCCAGGTTTAGGTGTAGTATAGCTCAAGTGTATGTAACTCTTTATTAGACTAAGGTTATGTGTGCATTGGAAATTGTTTTGGCAAGCAATAAGCACACCCAGGGAGATTTTGTAATGCTGATTATTAAAAGGACAACAACAAAGCAATACAACACCTCCATCTGCTGTACCCCTCACTGTGGAGAAAATTAACTGTATCCCAGCCCAAACCAGCTCATATCAGATGTGTTTGTGTGTTTATTTGAATTCTCATGCTTTATTATTCATTCTTTCAGCCATCATTGCCTCATTAATTTATCAGCACAGACACTTATGCTGTCATTGAACTCCATAAATTTCACTCTGTTCTCTATTTCAGATGGTTCCTACGTGTCAGTGCCGTCCCCTCTGGGGAAGATTAAAAGCATGACAAAAGGTATTTGCAATGGCAAGGGAAAACTTGAACTTTTGAGGTCTTTTTACCCACCATGTTTGTCACCCTGAACATCCTGCACAAGATTCATTATTCCTGAAATTTTCATTGTTCATCGTTCCATTTCCCTGGGATAATTTTATGAAACAGCATACTTAGCTTTGTTACTCAGCATAATGACAAGTCTTGTATTTATGTTATTTTCATTTACTTTAAAGGATGTATTTATTGTTATTTCTTTGAGAAAAGACTGTTTTGTGAATTAGCATTAATGAAATACCCACTTATCCATGAATGAAAATAAATACCATATTGAATCCTACTATAAAATGCCTGGATTATCTTTACAAGAAAAATTCTGTTCAAAAATATCTTGTGTTGCTCTGAAACAAACACAGATAAAATATTCAGATAAATACTTGCATTTTGAAATATTTCCTCCTTTTTTATTTTGTGGTGCTTTCAATTTTCCTCTTTAAATGTTCACTGGATATATTCAAATCCTTACATTCTGTACACAGCACCATCCAATTGTTCCACTTAGAAATATTATGATAAACTTTATAGTAATAAACCAAAAAAGTCAACAAGATAGAGACATTTGACAACTAAATTTAGATTCCACATGTCACTAGGAGTTGGCTCTGGAACAGCATCTCCAGCAGCAGCAATCAGCACTGGATGCACAGAAAAAAAGAAACTGATTCTCCATGTATGGAATTTTGTGCAACCATGCCATGGCACAGGCAGAGTTTGGGGATGAGGGAAAGTGCTCATGGCTGATGTGGTGCTAAAGCCAGGAATGCCAAGGCAACTGTGGCATTGCAAGGATTTGTCTGTCACTGGGATTTGCTTTGTTAATGGAAGAAAGGGAACAGGTTTAGCACTCAATTAACACAGGAAAATCAGCTTTCTCAGTGCGAGGGTTCTGAAGTTCAGTGCTTTTATGTTCTGTCCTCCCCTGACCCACGTTTTACAAGCAGGATGAGTGTTTCTTTTGCAGAGAAGGCTGACGTTCTCCTACTCCGCGCTGGTTTGCCATCGCACTTCCACCTTCAGCTCTCTGAGATAGAGTTTCACGAGATTATCGGCTCAGGTACCAGAATGGAAAGTGCATCCTCTTGAAATGTGTGATGTTCGTAACAAACATCTCTGTGCTTATTTATTTTAAATCATTTTAGGGTCTTTTGGAAAAGTCTACAAGGGACGGTGCAGAAATAAAATTGTTGCAATCAAACGGTACGTTTGTCAGGCTTTTCCATCCTGTTTGGGCAATGGCCTAGTTTGAAGTATTAAGAAAGCCCATATTTTATGGTATTTTATAATATTTTTGCCTTTCTGTTTTCTCTCGTGTCAATCCTAAGCTATCGAGCCAACACCTACTGCTCCAAGTCTGACGTGGACATGTTCTGCCGGGAGGTTTCCATTCTCTGCCGACTGAACCATCCGTGTGTCATCCAGTTTGTGGGAGCGTGCCTGGATGACCCCAGCCAGTTTGCCATCGTCACCCAGTACATCTCCGGGGGATCGCTCTTTTCCCTGCTCCATGAGCAGAAGAGGTATTCTCGTTGTCCTCTACTCAGGCTTTCTGCATAGAATTTGGAAGAGTAGGGAATCTATGCTGATGTAAATATGCATTTCAGTATAAGACAACACAGAAAGGAACACACTAGAAAATGCTGATCTTTGGTTCACTTAATTTGGTGTACGAGGGAAACTGGTAAGTAATCACAAAATTGTTATTGTCATTATTTTACATTACATAGATTATATAACATTATTTTGTATGTAAAACACTTTTGAAGGTTGCACGATTTACACTTAAGAATAATTTACAGACAATTTTTGACAGTTTATTAACTTTGAGTAATTTTTTTTTCCAAAATACAGAACTCTTGATTTGCAGTCTAAATTAATCATTGCTGTAGATGTGGCCAAAGGCATGGAGTACCTCCACAATCTCACACAGCCCATCATACATCGGGATTTGAACAGGTCAGTTTCTGTCTTTAACCTAAATATTCAGAGAACATGAAGGCTCAAAGGCACAGGGACCTCCACAGACTCCTGTAACCACGTCACGTCTCATTAGCTCTGAACTGAAAATAATCTTAGAAGTGTTACACAAACCCCTACAAGTCACAATTGCCAAACTGTCATTGTCCTTGAAGGCGGCAGTCACTGAAAAAGAGCATTTTCTTGCATCTGTTTGTTTAGGTTTTTCTGAATTTCCATTTCTGAATGCTCCATGTATTTTAGCCCAGCACCTGCTGTCACTTTCCCTTGTCACTTCATCTTCTTCCTTTGTTTTGTCTCTTTTACTCTAAGTATTTCCCCGTAGTTACAAGTTCATGTGTTTCTTGATTTGCTTGGCTGGTTTGTTACAGCTAAAAGCAGCTCTGACTGCTCTCCTCCCAGAGCTGAGGTCTCACACAGGACCAGGCACTCATCGCTCTCTTTGGTGGTAGCTGAGTAGGAGCACTGAGTCCTCGATGTCTACAGGAAGAAGCCCATTCTTGCTGTTCTAGTTATGAGAACAGTCTCGTGATGTGCATGTTTCAGCAACAGGGGGTGAAATACCTAAACTGCATTGACTGCAAGATTGGAGATGAAAATGATCCTTTTGCTAAGGTGAAACATGGTCCTTAACTCTGTCAGCCCTTGAGAGCAACAGGCACACTGGGGTGGCATCCCCCACTTTCCCTCTGAGTCTCCTTCACATCCCTGCATCACTGCACAGGTTCCTTTCGGGCCACAACCCATGGTCTCTGAGGGAGAGCCCTGTTTTCAAGGCTGCAGCTCTTGCCTCGGCTGTGATGCAAGCTGAGAGCCCTGTGCCTGACCACTGCAACCTGTGGGACTGCTCTGGGGCAGCCAAGGCTCAGACTAGGGCAGCCAAGACTCAGCTCAGCTCCATGATTCAGGCCTCACAGCTCAGCTCCAGGCTGTGGTGGCTCTTAGAAGAATGACTTCAAATAACATTTTCCACAAAAGAAAACCCAAACCAGTATCTTCCTAGAGAGCTGGAAAGCATGTAATTGCCCCACAGAATTTGTACAGATCATATTTGTGAGGGTCAGAAGATAATTTGCTGTAGGGACACTACTGTCATTGATGTGTGCTGATGAGAGCAGCTCAACTTCAGTGCAAAAGGAGGAGTTGTGTTTGCAGCATGAGTCCCAGCCAGCCCACAGGCACAATTACCAGATGAAAATCTTTGCAACAATTTAAGAGAAAGACCAAGAGTGAAATTGTGTTAAGTTTTGCCACTGGCTTCACAGGAGTTTCATATTTTTTACCTTAAATTTTCACATAGCTTGTAACCCCCTTTGTGAGTTCTGAAATCTAATGCACCACACATAATGCATTAAATAAATCTGCAATGTGGCTTGACAGAATAGAGAAGGAAATGAATCTTTCATGTACTCTACCCTGGAAAAGGGGTTATCCTTCCATTTGGAGAATAATTGGGAGTTTTATTTTGCTTTTCACTTCTGACAGCTATCCGCAATGGTGACACGTATCAGCTTATTACTACTTACACCATGGTGAGGGATGACAGCCACAATGATTATAGCACTTTAATAAAAAAGAGACCATTTTAGTATCAATTTAATTTAAGCCATAACAGCTGAACATGGCTGGAGCAAGCCTTTGAGCAACTGACCTGCATTTGATGGCTCTAACTATCCGTGAACAGTTCTGAAAGCTGCTTGGTGAGGGAGATGAAAGAGAGGATGGCAGCCTGGTGGTAATGGGGATAGAGTCTGCGACTCCTCTTTGTTCAAACATCCCTTGTGAAATCTTAAAATAGCTGTTGCTTTTCATTAAACCCACAGCGTGTTAAAGGCAGAAGGATCTTTTCATGGCCCTGATCTCTGGGAAAGGGACATGCTGTGCCTGTCACTTGCCATGGGAGGGAGAAGCCTCCATGGCTGGCAGACCCAAGAACCACATCCTTTCACAAAGGCAGGATGATTGCACATTACTCATTCTTCTCTCATTTTCTTCCTTCCATGGTTTCATGAAGAGAATGATGCTTGCTCTCACCATTGCAATCCCTATGTGATCTTAACAGAAGACAATTAATTTCTGATTCTGCTGAACTCATTATTAACTTCTGCCTGCTCAGCTCAGCTCAGTTTTGTCTTCTGTATTTCTCAAAACAGAGGCTTAAGAGTTCCTTTCTCATCCAAGATTTTCAAATTTGCAAGTGCCATTGAGGCAATAACAACATTTTTGAGCTGTACCTTCCAAGCCCTGTTTCTGTGTGCTGTATTTTTTACTACAGAAAAGAAAAATCAGTAACTACAGCATTCACTGGAGGTACCAGACTGACAAAACCCTCCAGAGCCTGTGTCCTGCCCTCAGATATGGCCATCCATGTGCTCAACACCAGAATGAGCCTTTCAGCATTGTTTGTCATATTCCGGGCCAGGGGAGGTTCAGGTTGGACATCAGGGAGAATTTCTTTATGGAAATAACTGTCAAGTACTGGAATGGGCTGCCCAAGGAGGTGGTGGAGTCCCCATCCCTGGAGGTGTTCAAGGAATGACTGGATGTGGCACTCAGTGCTCTGGTCTAGTTGACAAGGTGCTGGTGGGTCACAGGTTGGACTCGATAGTCCTGTACATCTTTTCCAACCTTAATGATTCTGTGAGTCTATGAAAGGCTGTTGCATGCCATGAGGAAAAAGGGCCTGTCAATTGATTTCTCAGCTTCTCAATAAAAACTGTCAATCCAGGTCTTGATTATGCCTTGACTTGTCAAGTTGTATTTATTCAAGGTCTACACAATCCTGGAGAAGACTGAAGTTGAAGCTAGGGCTCAATGCAGTTTATTCACATTGAGACTTGGGGATATTTTTTGTCCCTACTGACAGAGGCCAAATTTGATTGAAGACCACAGCAAAGTCTGTAGCTTTCTATGACTTGTGTACCTACACTCAACCCAGGGTGCAGCCTTCAAGAGTCTCTCTAGTTCAGCTTTGTGTTTGATTCATATTTTCATTTGGCATCTGGTGGGGATCTCAAAACAATTCCCCATGTCATACTCAAATCACTTCAATATTTTGATGGAAAGTACATATGGGAGCTAAAATTAGATTGAATATAAATCGAAAGAGTCACGATTACGTTTTTATGATTAAATTTATCATCCCACATGTTGGTTTTAGGTGAAACTAGAAATCTTAAAGACAGTGATTTGTGAAAGTCCTGCTTGGGAGAACTTAAATTTTTTTCTGTCCTAAAACTGTTATCTGGTGAAATTTGTGTTCCTCACTTGACTGTTCTTGTGTCTATCTGCAGCTCTAATATGAGCAAGTTGTGCTTTTTGTTGAGACCATCAATCTCACTTTCATTTTTTTCTCCCCATGTAAGCCTTGGCCAAATTTTTCATTTCTTTTTTACATAGACTTTTCACACTTCTGAATTTACTTGGATCAGTCAGCACTTGATAAATATCCTGTCAGCAGCATTGTGTCCACATTCTTGCACTTTTATGTTGTGATTTGCTCAGCCCTTCCAAAGCAGAATCACAGAATATGCCGAGTTGGAAGGGACCCACAAGGATCATCGAGTCCAGCTCCTGGCCCTGCACAGGACCATCCCCAAAAGTCTCACCATGTGCCTGAGAGTATCATCCAAACACTTCTTGAACTGTCAGGCTTGGTGCTGTGACCACTGCCCTGGGCCCTGAAGGTGTAATGACTGGGGTAGGGAAACCTTCATCCCAAGAGGTACTGGAAGCTTGTGACCTAGCTAAGACATCTTGTGAGTCTTTCCTCGTGTTCCCACTTTGTTTGAAAACCTGTGTTTGTGTTGCTGATTTCTAAAAGCCTTGTTCAAAGGTTGGATTGTTGGTCGAAGGTTTGGCTCTGTGATCTTGGAGATCTTCTCCAACCTTAATGATTCTATTATTCTATGGTTTTATGAAATGGCCTTTTTTCTAATTCCTCATGTATATTCTTTGCTGAAAATTAAATAAGTTACTGTAACGTCCTTGAATCAGTAAATCAATTTCCAATAGATTCTATATACACTTTCCCTGCTAAATGATGTTTTGCAATAGGCAGAAGATATTTTGTGTGCATGATCCATTCTATATCGACTCTTTGGATCTGCTCCTTCCCATCTATACACCGTCATAAATTTGGGATTACCACCATGAATTTACACCTACCTAAGCCTTAGAAGAGAAAAGAATCAGTCCATGCAGTTTTATTTGAAGGCCATCACTGTGCTTATATTCAAATATCATCTTCATCACTGAGATTAGGTGCACTTATTTAATAAAACTATTAGACTGGGTCTGTAACTAATTACAGAAGCTGTTTTGCTCTGGTATTGATTAAAAGCTGACCTTCTGAAGCTTTGGGTTTGCCTCTCAGAGTTAACGTGCACTTTCTAACAATAAATACAAGATGTAGCTATAGACATTTGACTACCTATGCAGGTAATTTGAACTCCTCAAGAGTGTATCTATGACCCAAAACTGTAACATTTTCACCATTTTTAAGACACTATCAAACAATTACCTATAGTTTTTTTTTCCCCAGTCACAATATTCTCCTGTATGAGGATGGTCATGCTGTAGTTGCTGATTTTGGAGGTAAGGAGTTTTTGTGAAACATTTATAAATTAACCCCAAATTCTCTAAAACTAAACGCGCTGGCTGAGACAATCCTGTAGGATTGCACTGAATACAGGGCTTTTGTATAACAAGGTGTGTGTCTGTATTGTCCTGACAGTAATTATTTTTCTTGTTCTGTTTCAGAATCTCGATTTCTGCAATCCCTGGATGAAGACAACATGACAAAACAACCTGGGGTTTGTTTCTTGTTTTGTTCCACATAATTAATATCAAATATACAGACAAACCCTATTTAGGAGAAATTGACATTGGAAATATATTTATTGGAAAAGACGGACTGCTGTAGTATTTCATCTCTTCAGTGTTTTTCTGGTTTGGCTTAATTTTTTTCCTTTAGGTGTCTTTAATAGCAGAGATGAGGGAATATATAACATCTTAAACAGAAAACAATGTTTTATAAGGTTGTCTTGGGAGCTCTATTGCCCAAATTCCTTTCTAAAGAGTGATTTTTAATCCACCCTTCCTGACTGTCACACACATTTGTTGGCAGGAGATTCCTTTTTCTAGCAGGGAATCAGTTCCTCAGCACTAATTCCCTTATTTCACAGTTCTTTTCTCCACAACAGCCTGTTGCTCACAGTCAGATTTACAAGACAGTTGTTGTTGTCTTCATGGCTTTAAGTCCAGATGCATCCCATGTGTCACTCCATGGCCCGGAATATTCACATCATCCTAACTACTAATGTGAGGTGGGACGGGCGATGCCAAAGGATGGGTAATACTACACCAGGGCTTTTAATCAGCACTTTAACTCCCTGTAATGGCACTCACTGTGAGGAGCAAGGGTTCCTGCTCAGACCCAGGTCCTGCCAGGCCTTGGTGACATCCCACTGAGAAGATCTGTCTTGAGAAAGTCTGTCCTGAGAAGGGCTGTCCTGAGAAAGGCTGACCTAAGGAGGACTGTCCTGTCCTGTAGAGGATGCAGAGTAAAGGAACCAGGGCACAAGGAATCTGACAATCACCCCAAACCCATCACCCCAGGGAGAGGCCAGTTCCTTGTGAAGCAGCTTCAGAATTAGGGGTCTGCAGGCAGCGGTGAGACCCCAAGAGAGCAGGCCCAGCCCAATACAGCTGTGATCAGCTTTTACTTCTCCCAGCTGAATCATATAATTCCTATTATATGGCATATATTCATATGTATATATATATATCTATCTCAGACCTGATGATGTGGTCTGCAGGCCTGGAGGCTGGGCTTATTCTTTTATTCTCACCCTACTCTCATGTTTAAAGTCTGCTCAGCCTGGCTGTACAGGGCTGAGACAGCACCAAGCTAATGCAGTTACATATCATGTGCAGTAACACACATTGACTAGATTTTGCAAGCCAGGTGAAAATTTTTCCTGGCAAATTACCAGTTATTTTATGGAGTGACAGAGGCAGGAAATAAGAAAACAAAGGAAAACAAACATACAAAGACAGGAATAGGTGCATGTGTGAGGGGGCAAACACTGCTAACATGTGACTGCTGTTTCCTGGTGTGCAGAACCTGCGCTGGATGGCCCCTGAGGTGTTCACCCAGTGCACAAGGTACACCATCAAAGCTGACGTTTTCAGCTATGCTCTGTGCCTCTGGGAGCTGTTAACAGGAGAAATTCCATTTGCTCACCTGAAACCAGGTAAGATGCTCAATGAATTAGTATTTTAAATTTTTCTGAAGTGAAGAAGTAGCTACTCTGTGTAATTTTAACCAATAGTTTACTAAAGTATGTTATTAAGTGCTGAGATACAGCATTTGGTGAAAAGCACAGAAATATCCCATTATAATCATGTATATTACTCCCTGCAGATCTACATAACCTACAATTCCTTATCCAGGTCTAGCATTAGAAACAAGTCACTCTGACTGCAGGCTTTTTTGCCTCTCATGTGGGTGTTGGGATTGCAAAGCCATTCCTTGGTACTTGTCCTCATATGCCTCAAGAGAGCACCCAAAAACTATGGGGGAGTACCAACAGCAGAGTGGCCTTTCCAGGGCTGCACTTGGCACTCCTGAGATTCTGACCCCTGAAAGGACGTATTAGAGGTCAAGAGTGCTGCAGGACATGGTCAGAGCCAGCACGGGTAAGGAGGGAGGGCTGAGACCCTTCTGCCAGTGAGACCCCCACTGCCGTCTGTCCTCTGGCTGGAGGTGGGCCCGAGGCCATGGGGATGGGCAGCTCACTCTGCTCTCAGTCTGACTGGAAAAGCCTCCTTTAACCTCCATGCCTTTATCCACAGGTTGGATGGCTCAGTGTTCCTGTGCCTGCCCGGTGTCTCAGCAGTGAGCAGGTGTGTTCCCAGGATCTGTGTGAGTTCAGGCACTAACGGGTCTCTGTGGGCTGTCCTTTGCAGCAGCAGCAGCAGCAGACATGGCCTATCACCACATCCGCCCACCCATCGGCTACTCCATCCCCAAGCCCATCTCTGCCCTGCTCATGAGGGGCTGGAACGCCTGTCCCGAGGTGAGTGCCCCTGGCAGTGAGAAAACAGGCATGTCTGCTCTGGCTGACCCTCCCCAGAATCCCAGTTTCCATGGGAAGGGTCACTGCAGAAAGCCCCCAGACAGATAACGGGGTGTGTCAGGAAATACAGGAGAGTTGGTGAATTGAGGAGGAAAGTAAATTGACATTTAGCCATTCAATGAAACCTAATTAATCATGTAGCTTTGATTATGACTTGAGTTATAGTGTGAGTAGAAAACTCCTTGCTGCTCTCAGACTTCTGTATATAACTGCTAATGACAGCATGTAACACACATTAAGTTTAAATTTATTAATAAGATGTCATATTAAAGTGTTGACTTAAGCAAGCACAGAAATGGATGCAGTCCCTGTGTCTTGTCAGCATTCCCACAGCCCACTTAGCCCCAAAACCTTTTTTTCAGAGTCCCAGTGCGCTTTGTTACCCATCAGTGACACTCCAACATCACTTCATCTTGCCAATGTTTTAGAGTTTCATGACAAAATTATAAAGAAATTGATAGCACAGTCACCTCATGGATGGCCAGTACTTTTCACAAGATGTGAGCAAGAAGTTGTTAAAATGATCTTTATTAAAAGTGTTTTGCTTCTGTTCTTTATTAAACTTTCCTTCATGGATGGCAAGGCTGCTGTCACTCCTGGACTGGAGGGCTGCTGAGAGGGCTGCAGGGCTTTGGCCCAAAGCCCTTAAATAGAGCCTACCTCTTACAGGTGGTTCTGTTGAGGACAAGGTGGTGATGGGAATGAGTAGCTTATTTAGCAGTTACCTCATTAAGGTATTCCCAGCCCTCCATTGTCAAACAGTGCTCAGGTACTGCTCCAGTCACACCTGAGCTTCCCGGGAAGGCTGAGCTGTGAGCTGGGACAGAACACAGACAGGCAATAATGGAGGGCTACTTGTCATTCCCCTCACTTGCCTGATCCAGTCCCGAGTGTGGCCTCCACAAACCTCTGTGCTACTTGAAGCACACAAAGATGGACACACTTGTCCAGGAATGGGCTGGGCAGGCGGTGGGAAGCAGCTGTGGGGGGGTACAGGTACACGGACAAGGGGAGGAGGAGGACGGCCACAAAGGCAGCTTGTCTGCTGCTCGTCACTGCTGTTGCTGTGTCCAAAGTCCTGTTCATGGGCAAAGAGGAAGCCAACCAAAGAAGAGAGCAGAGCCAAGAATTTATTAATAGCATCTTTGTAATCTTATGATCTAGTCATTATTAGCTCAAATGTAATTGTTACAGAAAAAGAGATGAATTGCAGTTAAAGTCGTTATACACACACCTCTTCGTTTCGTAACTCAGCACTGAACTTGCAGTTCTCATCAGATTCCCAAACAGACTGACAGCAATGCCATGAAATTCAGAGAAATCCCATCCCTGTGTGTCAGTCTATTCAAGCAGATCTGCCCCTTTCCATTTTTAACCCAGCTCTGCTTTTTTTGTTGTGTTCCCAGGGGAGACCAGAGTTCTCAGAAGTTGTCACAAAGTTAGAGGAGTGTCTGTGCAATATTGAGGTAAGGACCTGGTTCCCAGCATGGGGGGTCTGTGTGTGTACAAGCAGATAGGAGTACAAGTGGGGACAGGGACAGTGCCAGCAGCTGAGGACAGCAGTGGCTTTGGAGCTGCTGGAAAAGTCCAAGGAAAAGTGGGGGACAACTTATGAGAGACATGAGGAAGGATTTGTAAATATGCAATAACAGTACCTTTTTTTTTTTTTTAAATCCAGTTAATGTCTCCAGCCTCCAGCAACAGCAGCGGGTCTCTGTCTCCCTCCTCCTCCTCGGACTGCCTCGTGGCCCGGGGAGGTCCCGGCCGCAGCCACGTCGCCGCACTGCGCAGTCGGTTCGAGTTGGAATACGCCCTGAACGCTCGAGCCTACGCTGTCTGGTCACAGGGGTGTGTATGAGCCCCCCAGGGAGGGAGAGAGGCTCTGAAAGGCTTAGACTGAGGTGATTAAGGGAAGGAAGTCGTGCTCCTGCAAGGTGGTGTGGCAGGACCAGGAGAGAGCTCTGCCAGACCTGTGCCGTCACCTGTGCCCATTACAGAGATCAGGGATAAACTACCTGTCAGCAGGACAGTGGGTTTGGTTCATGACTGGAAGATAATTCCACCGTCTTCCTCACCAGAGAAACTTGTTTGCAGGACCCTTTTAGCAGTGACACATAAAATACATGGCAATGATCCTGGATTGATGCCTGGAATTGCTTCCAAGATGACAATGCAGAGATAGTTGTGAAGCCCCAAATGGGGTATTTGAGGGCAGTTACTCTGAGAATGGTAACCGAGTGCCAGCGTGCCTGTGGGTCCTGGTCTTGCTTCATGACTTTTTCTTGCTTTTTGTTTACTTGAACTGCTGTGGTCAGGCCCCACACTGATGTCTCGTGGTACTGTCCTTTCCTCCCACTCTGAAGAAAAAGCTCCTGTAGCCTTCATCAGTCTTACCTAAACTGACACCTCTTGTTTAATTTGCAGCACTGGGCAACCCCCTTCTCAAGGCCTGTCTCTGGATGACATGAGAAGGAACTTCCAGTACCCCCCAGTCGACAAAAACGGTGAGTTAATGCTGAGGGGTTCTCTGCCACAACAAGTTGTTCTGCTGCCATGAGCACTGCAGGGAGGGGGGACAGGAGCACCACTGCTGTGCAGAGCTACAGTTGATCCTCTCTCTGCACCTTGCAGGGTACGTGTCGGACCCCTTGAGCACCATGAGGTTCCACTCCTGCGGCAGCAGCGGCAGCTTCGAGGAGAGCAGCTGAGGGAGGGACCGTTTGCCTGCCGCCAGCCTGGCCATTGACCTGCAGCTCTCGCTGCACCACCAAACCCCAGGTGTCACACCGAGATCCCTGAACAGCTTTAGCACTGATGGCAAATATCCCCATCCTGCGTTCTGCTTTAGCATCCCCCTCTGCTGACCTGCCCGAGGGCTGGGTTTTGGTGGTGTGCTGCTGTTCTGTAACACAGGAATGCCCACAAGGAATGCTGCACTTTCATCTTGGGCACTGATAACACGATGAGATGAAAGTAAAGAAACATCAGTTATATTCCAGAGCTTTGAGGCAGATTGCTCTCAGCTTGGATGGCCCTGTCAGCCCACCCTGGCTGGGAGGTGCCCAGGAATCGCCAGCCCCATCCCCATCAAGGAAAGGAGTAGCCTGTCACCCTCACTTCCATCCACCCACCATTGAAGCTTGGTTGTCCCTGGTCCCAGCTTCTGAACCAGACCTGGTTTGGATTTCTCCACAGCCCCAGACACATCCCGTGTCCCATTCCCCCCTCCATGGGTTGGCCCAGCTCCCCAGCACAGCGGCCCCGGCCACAGTTTGTCAGGGCTCTGACCCTTGGGTGCTCTCCTGCATGCTGAGAACGTGGACATATCTGGGTGTCCATCTTCCATCAACTCCTCCAGACATCCATGTTTTGTTATCCACTTGGTTTGGTTTGAGGGATTGTTTTTCCCCGAAAAGTGTAAGCTTTCCTTCAGTGGTTTGCTTACAAAAAGCAACACAGGAACTCCAAAACAAACTTTAAATGAGAAGGAACTTGTGTCAAATTGTGTCACAAACTTGATAACATTAACATAGTGCAAAGTGGCATTTTTAACGAAGCAAACCTGTGTCAGGTGCCATTGCAATGGGCACCCAGTGCCACAAAAAGACCCTGCAGCAGTGACTGAGCACAGGGAATTAAAAAAGAGAATAGAGGTAGGGCAGGAGAAATTAAACTATTCCTCTACAAGCAATTACGGAGTTAATTGTGCTGTTATTTTCTGGAGTCTTTTAAAATTAGCAAACTGTATCTGTAATCCTGTATGTATGCCAAGGCAGAGTGGGAGTCAGAACTCACCATTGCTGGGCAGAGCTCTGTGGGTGTTATTGTTCCTACAACCACGATCCCTGAAGCAGGTCTGTGATGAGGCCTCGAGCAGTATGACAGACATGAGCTGTGACTGCGTGGTGGGCTCTGCCGATGCTCTGCTGCCATGCCTGCCATTAATTCCACAGTCCTGAAGCAATAAAACTGGGGAAGAGGTGGTTTTTCATTTGTTGTGTTTCGCTTGCTGAAAAGCTGAATGTGGGGGAAGGAAAACCAAGCTCCAAGTGCAGCTCTGTTACAGCTCTCCCACCACTGGCCCCTGGTACCAGCCAGTGGTTACCTCTGCTCCCCTGGGCTCCTGTCCCAGGTGCAGTTCTGTTTACACCAGCAGCTGCTGGGATAATGAAGTGTCAGGATAAACACACAGCAAAGCCGAGGATGGGGTTCACAAGGGGACCTGCTGGACCCTGTCTGCAATCTTCCCAGACTGGGATATTTCCATGGAGGGGTTGGAACAAGAGGAGCTTTAAAGGTCCCTCCCTTTAAACTACAACAAAACAACATCCAGATTTGTCTGCAGCTGGAGGAAATCTGCTGTATTCTTTCTAGAAGTACAAGCAGCGTTAGCAGTTGGCATTCTGTGAGGGAAGAGGTGCAGAGCAGAAGGGAGAAGGTGCGTCTAGGATGCTGATGAATATTCCCTACCTGACCCTAATTGCCCAGATGTTCTATATCGTAGAGCCACAGAAGCACAAGCTGATGAAGGAGGGTGAACAGACAGTAGGTCTCAGTCCTTGGTTTTCATACTGGCCAGAAACACCAACAGGGCAGAAAGAATCCATTGTCATATCTGAAATCTCAGTTCCAGCTCTAAGTCTCTTTTTCAGCAGGAATTTTTTCTTCCAAATATCTCTGCACTCTGTCTTTTTCCCTTGCTTAAAGCAACCATGCAGTGACTCTGCATTTAGTGACTTAGCAACTGGGCCTGAAAATCAGAAACTAAACTGTGTTAGAGAACTAAAAATGGAGCAAGGGAGCAGACTTCATGTGCACTAATACCTCAGTGTACTCATAGATACCTGAGTTGCTGTGTCATCCCTGAGTACCTCCTCGGAACATGTCACATGAAAACAACAAAAAAATTCCAGAAAGCAAACGTTCTATAGTTTAAAAAGCCCTTTACAAAGCCACCTGCTTGCAAATAATTTTACTAGTAATTAAAATTACTGGTTCCTTGAAGAAAACAATGTCGTAGATAATTGCTCTCTATGGAAGAAACATCAGACTTAGGGAAAAAACATGTTTCATAGGAGTGATCAGTAATACAAACAAAAACTCTGAAAAATGTAAATTACTGAGTAGAACATGCTCCAAAGCTGTTTGTGGGACTGCAAGTAGTCTGTGCTGTTCCCAGAGAAGCCCGAGGACCCCAGCATATCAAAATATTTACCAAGAATGAGACAGTCCGAGGATTCTTACCCTGCTTTGGAGACCTGCCAGTGCCTGGCAACTGTAGTGATATTTTAAATTAACATATCAGCAATAGATTAAAATAGATGATCTAGATTAAAATAATTAAAATAACATGGAGCCCAGACAAGGACTTGGACTGCAGGCAGGAGTGAACCCGGCATTCCTGCAGCACATGTCCACCAGCACGGCACAGCACAGGACAGGATAGGACAGCCAGCACAGCACAGGACAGCCAGCACAGCACAGGATAGGACAGGCAGCACAGCACAGGACAGCCAGCACAGAATGGTACAGGACAGCCAGCACAGCATGGCACAGGGCAGCCAGCACAGCACAG